TATACAGATGAAGACATTCCATAAAGACTATTTGTAAATGATGGTATCCAGAATAAGAAACCAACTGTATAGAATATATGCTTTGAGTGTAAAAATTTAAACACTGGCATTTTATTTATTTTATTTTTTCATCGTATGAGTTTGTGCTCTAAAATAATGAAACATCAACATGCACCTTTCCACTTCATGGGTCATGAACAACATAGACTTGGACAGGAAAGTTTTAGACATTGGTGCTTCTGTTTCATGGAAAAAAACTGGCATTTTAATCAATGTGGTATAATGGTTATAACTCCAACTCCAGCTGTAAATTTCATGAGATAATATAACTTAGAAATGTAACACATTATTAAAATGGCCTTCATTTTCCACATCTGCTACAACACTGGATCCAGCTTTTTAGCTCCAAGGACATTGGTTCCATATCCCAGTCTAGATATTTCATTCATCAATCCTGAAATCAGTTTTCAATCATCCTATGTACTAATAAGTAATGGCTTCTATGTGAATCAATGAATACTGAATATGGAAAGCCATTGTTTTGTTTCTTGGTTTCATTTTTTCCCCCATAACCTGACCTGCTAAAAAGTGGTGAACCTAATGAATCTGTTGCTCAATCTCTCATTGTTGCCAAGACCTTCCTCTGTGAGAGAATCCTGGCAAATGACAAAATGACAAACAGTGACTATCTCATGATCTTGTCCTTGTTCCCATGCTCTTTCTTATCTCTGTTTATCTCTTATCTGTATCTCTCCCCATGACTATGTTTCCCTAAATTAAAAATATGTCTCTACAGCTAGTGAAATGAGGATGCCCTTAATACTCCTAGTGTGGCAATAAAGCATGCCTAAGGTACACCAAATTAGGGCCACACTGCCTCCAAACACCTTTCAAGGCAGCAGAAGCTGGCCTGACTTTCACTACCATCCCCATCTATGTGCATACTTGGAACAGAGTAGAGACCGTTGTAGCTCATCAGTTGGGTAATGTATGCTCATCTCCATTTCTCAATATCAACAACATTAGAGTAGCTACTTCTAATTCATTAAAATAACTTAGCCTCGGGTTTTTGGTTGCTTAATGTCTGGGATGTTATGCAGACATACACTTGGAATAAACAGATAATGGTGATATTAACAACATTGTTGCACTGGCTGAAGCACCTATTTTTTGACAACTATTTCTATTTGATGCAGGTAATTTAATATTAAACATTTATCTAGTGCCAACCATTTTTCAGACACTCAGGGTACTATAAGTAGGGTATCCACACTTTATGGCACCCACATTCTGGTCAGCAAGAGAGCCATAAAAAAAAAAAACAATAGTTAAGGTACAATTTGTTAGGTGCTAGCAGAGTTCAGCACAGTGGAAGCCGAAAAGTGTCAGAGATCAACTACCTGGTAGGCCAGATCATTTTGGTCAATGGGAAATGACCTAAAAATTACCCCCTGAAACATTTAATTTTAATAATTAACAAACTTCTTAAGTAAATATGTACTATTCGGTGGTGGTATTATTGTTACTATCATCTAATAAAATTACTAAAAACTACAATCACTCCTTTTAGATGTCACTATTTCACTCACATTTACTATCTAAAGGACCTATTCAAATAAGGACCTGTTTACAGACCTCCTTCTAGACCAAAGTAACAATTTTTTAAAAAATTTGTATCCATGTTCTCTATCGGCCTGCAATGACAGAGAAGATAAGCCACTATATGGATATGATCCACCTCGAACCTCTTCCCCTTAATCACACCTTTTCAGACCCGCCCTTCTAGGCAGCCACATAGTATGAGAAGAGTCCATTTATAACACGAATTTTAAAATGATTCTATTATCAAGGCACACACTGTGTTCACTCTACATTGTAATCAAAAGCATCTGAATTTGGGCTGATTTCTATTACTGAATCTCTAAAGCATTTTAGAGTCCAACTGATTTCATGTGACTCTCATATTAAGCCCCCACAATCTTTGAGATGTCAAATAAATAAGATTGAGAGACCACTGTGGTTTTTTTTGCTTTTTGATTTATTTGCATATATTTTATTCCTCCTTTAAAAAATTTTTTATTTCAAAATATTGGAGGGTACAAGTGTTCCTGTTACATGGATAAAATATATAATGCTAAAGTTGGAGCTTTCAGTATCTATGTGGTATTGTGCACAATTTTAAGTGTATAAATGACTAAAATGAGTGACAAGAGATGCAAGACATCTTGACAAAATGCCTAATCAATAGCAAAACAATCTACATTACATCTGGCTTTGCCACATACTATCTGTGTGGCCTTGGATGAGGTCTTTGTATCTACTATGTGAGAAATGAATGGACTATTCGCTATGTCTATGTTATGTATTTTAATGGAAAAATCAATAAAATGAATTGAGCTGAACTAGATGTTCTCTATAAAGTTTCTGTAGACTCAAACATTATGAAAACTTCTAAAAATGTCTTTTCTTTATTTCTTTCATCCCAAATTGTGAAATTCAAATCCCACTTCCAGACATCTGGAAAACTTAATCCATTCTAATGTAAGATACCAAGACAATTAACAATTAAGCTGTTATTAGTGAATCATGTGTTCTAAGCAGCTACTTGCTGGGCTCCCTGTTTTAGTATCACAACCATGCCCTGTTTGTAATACAGGCATTTGAGAAACTCAATAAATTTTCAAACCATAAAGTATAGTTTATTATTTCAGATAAATCTACTAGAAAAATCTCGATAGGAACACATGTGTTCCTGATCATATAAAACTTCACCAGAGTAAGGAATATCTAAAAGAATAAGGCATTATAATTCTTCAAAATACCCCCTATTCAAGAACTATAAATGGCACACTGAAATGAAAATAGCCTTTCACACTTATAATCTAACAGATGTTCAATGATAATAATGTACTTACCTATGTCCAGATATTATATATAACACGTGCACATGCCATGTGTGTGTGTGACCCAACTGGCACAAAGCAATTGTTGCAAATAAAAAGCATACTTGCAAAATAATCAACTACAGAAAGCTCAAAGAGAAAAAAACAAATAGGAAACCCCAGAAAGAAGGTTAAGCCACTGTCAAAGAATAGATTATGGCAAATCAGTAAACATTCTGAGTAACACCTTATGTGGAGCTCCAAAAACCATTAAAAATATGTTTTTAAAGATGTTAAATAAAATAGTTAGGACATCAGTGGGCAGAGGGATCCATGGGAGAAAGTTTGGATTATAGGAAAAAAAATTCTTACATACTATGCATCTTATTGCAGGGGACAGGATAGGAAAAAAAGGTATGAAATATTACTCTATACTTAGACTGTGTCATTCAAGTTGCTGTAACTCAAGAAAAACGTACAGGAACTGGAGGGAAAGAAAAGGCAATCAGAACATTCCTTTTCATCATTGACTCCTGCTTCAATCACGCGAATGAACAAGAAATACAGCACTCAAAAAACAAGCGAAGCTGGTGGAAGGGCAGTGCTACAGTTGGGAACAGATGAAGACTTGGAGAGAACAAAACTGATTTATATAATATTATAAATGACTCAAAGAAGGTAAAGACAGACTGGCTTACCAAATCTTTTAGAAGCTGCTTCTAAAATCTGATTGTAGCTACCTTTAGGAAGGAGAGTAATATATTACAAGGTGACTCAGGAAGAGAATATTTAAGAACTCCCAATGAGCTTCGATAAATTCATGAATGGCTGAGATAATCTGAGACTAATCCCTATCCATTACAGTTGATGTCAGAGAGAACAATTGTGCCCTTACAGCCTCTAGCGTCTATCTGAAATGCTACAGGTGTACAGGCCATCAATCTGGCCAGTTCTGTTTCCATGCCACTTGGCATACATCAGGTTATTATTTCTTAAATATAAATCTAATGTCTGTATTAGAAAAGTCTATGAACATATATTTCCAATCACCTTATTGCCTCATGAGAAAAGTCAACCCCATGATTGTTCTCAATTGATATCTACGTGAGAAAATCTGGATTTACTCTTCATCAAGGCCTTGACAGAATTTTTAGTATGTACTGTCAGAGCTAGAAATGAACAATGTAGCAGATTTGTTCTGAGTGGCTAATTTCAGAGGTAACAACAAAAATGGTTTGAATAGAGAAAATCCTACAACGAGCCCTAAGCTTCTTGGTAAATGGCATCAGATGTTGAGGTTACACTGCAAATATTAACCTGAGGGTAGAAAACCCACTACGGTAATAGATACATGTATGACTTCTGCTAGTTTGAGATTCCTCATTCAAAAAACAAAAACCTGGGATAGAGAACAGAACACTAAGGGATTCACTGACAGCTTAACCTGCAAAAAAATTTAGATTTGACCTAGAGAACAGACAGATTTTCTTAAAGGGTCATTAATTCCATCTTTAAAATGAAACTGCAACAGGACACGCTCTCCCTAGAGCAATTGCATTTGCTTACTAAATTACATTGCTTACTAAACTAGCTGACATCCTACTTTGATGGAAGTTACTACTTCATTTTCATTGTTGGACATTAACTTCCTAGTAGTTATGACTTCCCAGAGAAGAACCTCTATTTACTTGATTTATAGTTATTTGAGTTCACTGAACTTAACCTAAACATAGATATCTGTGATTTTGCTATTTGAGATAGAATATAGGGGATGGTGTTTAATTAAAAGCAAAATCACACTCATTAAAACTAGCCTTCTAACTATATTCTCCTCATATACTATAGTTATTATTGCTTAATCAAAAATCTACTTCCCACCCAGTCTATAGACCATATGGGAAAGTGGCCTTTTAGTATTACAGAAATGCTCATTCAAAGCAAGAATGTGTTCCAGGGAAGTGGCAAATCCACAAATAAAGGACCCTTGGTGGGCTCTGTGTCCTCGTTACTTTTGAGAGTACTATTAGTTATCAACCAATAACCAATCTTATCTCTTCCAAAAATCGAAATTGACCCTCATAGTTAAAAAAAATGACTAAGGAGTTCAGCAAACCTTACTTCTGGTAGTGGGCTGGCCGGCTTGGTTAGGATTCCTCCTACATAAACAACGTTAGGCAGAGTGGGTCTTGGAAACTCCAGTGCCACGTCAGTACACAGCATCCACAGGCTGGACCCGTGAACCAAATCATACATGGACTTCTCCGGCAGCAGGTTGTGCTTCTGCATTATCCTTTCGTATTTGGGAAGAACCAGAAAGCTGACCCCTAATCTGGAAATGAGGTAAACGCCAGTATTTTTCATCCTTTGCAGCAAGGTCATGCGGTCTGTGAGGAGTGAGTTAAACTCTGGGACGTACGCTAATGGAGCAGGGGCTCCCACTTCAGCAGGATACCAAAGGCCAGTTGAAAATACAGCATATTTAACCCCCAAAACATGAGCTATCACAAATCCACACATATCATTAGGGTCCACCAGCAGCAGGTCAAACTTTTCTTTCTTCAGGCTCTGAATCAGGGCATGGTTGCCAACCATCATGTCACAGTTCTTAGTATAGTGATCCAGTATGTCAAACAGTTCGACTGCTGTCAATCTCCCAGAGAAAATATTCCGCATTTTGGACTGCAGGAAAGCATCCGAGGTGGTACTGTTAAAGATCCCTGGGTAGCGCTGGAGGCTGTAATGATTAGATGGGGTGATGTCTCTGCCTTCTGAGAGGAGGAACACTGTGTGGTGGCCTCTCTCATGCAAGGCTGAGGCTAGCGTCTTGAAAATGTATATATGGCTTTCAAACATAATTGGCGGCACGATGATGATTTTGGCAGCCTTCGCTATCCCAACAGCACTCCACAGGAGCATGAAACAAGAAGTGTAAGACTTCATAGCTGTAATGACAACCAGAAAACAACTTAAAACAGAATACAATGCTGACCATTCACAACAATCAAAAGGTTTTGTTCCAAAATATATGATGACCTAATACTTTGTCTAAAAAAAAAAATCACTTTTAAAATTATCCTAATATTTGTTGTAATTACCTCTTTACTTTTGAAAGATCAGTCACTTAAGTATAGAATTGCAAGCAAAGTTGATATAAACTGAAATATATTTAAAATGGATCTGTTTCAGACCATATAACTGTATCAGTAAACTACATTTTTAAAAACTGGAAATAAAATTTCTATAAGGTTGAAGGACAAATAATATCTTTTATTTGAGTAATATCTAGGAAATATCTATGAAACATCTGTTTATCTTCTAATTGAATGTCAATGTTAATCCTAGGAAGAAGATTCAAGATTTCTGATTTCCAGGTATATCAACATGTGTGTCTCTCATTTAAATCATTTTATTTCAGCAGTTACATTTCCAGTTATTACTAAGGTATACCAAAGAAAGATTTTTTTAGCAAATAATTCTCTAAGTGGTACTTCAGTAGTTCTGTAGAAAAGATTTTTTTCCAGAGGAAAAATAATCTTTAACATGTATTTTCCCTTTACCTAAATACCATAATTATAGTGGCAGTCAATATTTATGTAATTTGTATCAATTTGCTAATGCGTTTCAGGGCATAACCTAGAAGAGAAGCCTTTAATAGAAAAGTTCAAGAGGGTTAAATGTATCTCAGTAAATGCTTATTGAAAGAGAGACTGATGAATCACTGTCTCCAAGATCATACTTGCTATGTTATACCTGTAACTCAGGTGCAAATGGCAAATCAGATGACGGCTGTACACTTGAAGGCTAATAATACTCCTACCGCTTCATGTTAACAAAGTATGTTTAATAAAGTCATTATGTGGTAACCCTATAGTATATAAACAGCCCCCAGCCCACTGGGCACTTTTATTTCAAGAAACAACTCAAAATAGATTTATTTATACATCCAACTCATTACCTACTTTTACTCATTATCATATATTAACCGTCCTATTTGTACATATTCTACCACCTAAATGTAGTTGCAACAATACCTTCTCAACATTCAAATATTTTAAGCAACCTAAAAAGATTAATAGCAGACAAATAATGATTTCTACCAACATCAAGACTGAACTATAAAATATATATACCAGATGCATTTTTCCTCTCCCACTCCAAGTTTCAAAGTATTTCTAGATAAACTGAAGTAATACCATTAAGAATCAATAAAAGTAATGCACATTATAAACATATAGTTAAATGCTGCCTGAATTATATTACAAGGGCTTTAAAAATAAATTTGGAGAAGACACTGTTTCTATAGCAAAGTTTACTCTATAATTACAAGGTTAATGAAGGAAGAAAATTAAGTCACCAATCTTGGAAAAAACCTTCCAATATTTTATTCTACTGTACTACCACACCTATGTGGCTCTCCAATGTTGCTTTCTTACAATGCTGAAGAAGAAAAAATTAGGGATTTTACATGGACGTGGTATGTATTCCAGGGATAAGATTTATGCAGAAACAGACATTCCAGCATTGATGGCCCACTGCTTGCCTATTTGACAAGATACACTTAATAATGGGTCAGTGGTAGACAACTGCTCTCCCCACTGCATTTTTGGGTCTAGTCGAGAAGACAGTGGGTGTCCTTTGTTCACAGTTTCTCACAGGGTGACACTATGATAGGGTTGGCTGAGATTCTAAGTGCAACACCATCCAAGCAATCAACAAAATCATGAATCCACTCTTGCCAATGGTTTTCAAACCCAGAAGGTTGGTGACAACTTAGGAATTCCCTTATTGATTTTATTATTTAACATAATTCTCGATCTTCAACCTAAATGTAAGGAAATAAATGAGGTGTAAAGACTAGAAGGCAGTAAACAAAATTAAGATTTACTGAGGATACTAAGATTTCCTTCCTGGAAAACTCTGATGAATCAGCTAAAATTAAGGCAAACTAATAAGGTTAAATGATTCTTGGTTACCACACACACATACATACACACACACACTCTCACACCCCAAAAGCTTTAATCAATGGAATAGTATTCAGCTCTAAAAGAAGAAATGAGCTCTCAAGCCGTGAAAAGACATGGAGAAATCTTAAATGTATATTACTAAGTCAAAGAATCCAATCTGAAAAGTTTCATGCTGTCTGATTCCAGTTAAATGAATAAGTCTGGAAAAGGCAAAAATATGAGAGGCTGCAAAAAGATTAGTGGTTGCCAGGGGTTAGAAGTGAAGGAAAGATGAATAGGTAAAGCACAGAGGAGTTTTAGGACAGTGAAACCACTCCGTATGATACTATAATGATGGATGCATATGATTATATATTTGTCCAAACCCATTAAACATACAGCACCATGAATGAACCCTATTATAAACTATGTGATTTGAGTGATAATGATGTGTCAGTGTAGACTCATTGATTGTAATAAATGTACCACTCTGGGGCAGGTTGTTCTTGTGGGAGCAGGGAGTAAATGGGAAATATCTGTACATTTTGTTCAATTTGACTGTGAACTCAGAACTGTTCTAAAAAATAAAGTTTATTAATTTTTTTCAGTCCAGGCACAGTGGCTCATGCCTGTAATCCTAGCACTCTGGGAGGCTGAGGCGGGCAGATTGCTCCAGGTCAGGAGTTCGAAACCAGCCTGAGCAAGAGGGAGACCCTATCTCTACAATAAATAGAAAGAAATTAATTGGCCAAACTAATATATATAGAAAAAATGAGCCGGGCATGGTGGTGCATGCCTGTAGTCCCAGCTACTCAGGAGGCTGAGGCAGCAGGATTGCTGGAGCCCAGCAGTTTGAGGTTGATATGAGCTAGGCTGACGCTACGGCACTCACTCTAGCCTAGGCAAGAAAGCGAGACTCTGTCTCAAAAAAAAAAAAAAAAATTTCAAATAAGGTTTTTATGCAAGCATCCCATAAAATTTATCTTATACTTTATTATGTAGTTATTTTAGCTTTATTATATGATTTATTATAATTAGATAATATAGTTAGCTTATATTTTAATATAATTATGTTATTATAATAGTTCATTATACTAGTTATATTTAAAGAAACCTAAAAAAACCTTAATAAAATAAACTAGGCAATAAAAATAAAATATATGGATGAATCGATGCACCACAAACAAATACAATGGCAAATGATATCCTAGAAAAACAACCTATAACACACATAATAGATATTTAACTTCCATAAGCATTCTCCTGAATTCATCAGTACAGGAAAGGATTGTTACTAATTGCAAACTCTAAAGATATGTTAAATTACCAGTAACTGGGGATTTGTTAAGTTGTCATTCATTGATACAATGCAGCCACTAAAATAATCTTGTAAAAAGAATATGGCATAGGAAGACATTCAAGATTTATTATTGACTAAAAATTAGGATAACTAAACACTATATATAACATGTACCACTTTGCAAAACAGATATACAGGTATACATACATAGGAGCAGTAAACCAAAATAATAACATATTTCTCTGGATAGCATGAATTATAAGGAATTTTAACTTTTTCCCATTGGGTATTTACAAAGTAATCCACAATGGGCATGTGCCACTTCTATGAAATAAAAATAAAAAATATTGTTTTAAAGTAAGATATGATGAAAAAGTATCTCATTCACAATAACAATAAAGTATATAACATACCTTTTAAATTACCAAAATAGGATATTTGTTGGCTATACTAAGAAGTACGGCCAGACTTCCTCTCTAGATATATACATAATAATGATTTCTAAATGTATAGAAATACTATTTTATTTTAATGAAAGACAATATTCTAAAAATGTCAGTCCTCCCCATATTATAAGTAGTTTGAAAAATTTTTTTACAATCCCACTGGATGTTTTTTTTTGTTTGAAATTTAAATCAGATTATAATCACATTCACTTAGAATAGTATACACACAAGAAGGAATACATTTTTGATAAAGAAACAGTAATAATTTAGTATATCCATGTAAATATTTTTTTAAAAAACATATATTGAAGGCACAGTAATTGGAAACTATGGAACTAGCCCAAGAAATCAAATCAATACTGCAGAGAAGGAAGCCTATAAGAATTCCTTGAATAAATATAAACATAATATGGAATGAAGGAAGTGCCACAAATAGATGAGGAAGAAACAACTTATTCAATATTCAGTGTTAAAAATTTGCTCTGTATTTGAAAAATAAAATCACTACATTTTTTCACCTCAGACTTTCTCCAAAGTAAATCAAATAGCATAGTGCTGAATGTTTTCTAAATAAAGCCATTAAAGGTATTGAGCTTTAAGTAATTATCTGGAAAGAGAAAAAAATTAGGTATAAAGCAAAGAAAAAAATCACCTTTACAAATATTAGATTTGGTTACATAATCATTAAATATTTTTGAAATGTTTAAAACACCTGGAGCATGGTTTCCAATTCAAAATGGCAGATTGAACAAGCATGGTTGCATTCCTTTCCTCTCAAAGCCCTGTTGGAAATTTGAGTAAAGAATACAAAATAGAGGTGTGCATGAATGATCATGCCTATGGTCCTAGCACTTTTGGAGACCAAGGCAAGAGGATTATTTGAGGCCACACTGGAAAACCTTGTCTCTACAAAAAGATAAAAAGTTGGACAGGTGCAGTGGCATGCACCTATAGCTACTCAGGACACTGAGGCGGGGGGATCCCTTAAGCCCAAGAGCTCAAAGCTGCAGTGAGCTGTGATCACGCCACTGCACCTGCAGACTGGGTGACAGAGTTAAAACCCTGTCTCAAACAAACAAACAAATAAATAAATAAAATATAAAAAGGAATAAATACATAATAGTTCTGAGTATTGGTAGGAGAAAACAAGGTATTGGCAGGGCTACAGCTGCCATGATTAAACAAATGAACAAATTAGTTTTTTCTTTTATACACCTGGCAAGGATGTTATTTTTAATGATAATGCTCAG